AGGGGGTGGGGGGGCGGGGTTGGGGAGAGCCGGTCTCCGCCCCGCCGCCGTGTTTCGGTTTCGTTTCCGATGGCTCAGAGCCGGCTCCGCTCCCCGCAGCGCCTTTCTGTCCCCGGCACTGCCTGCTCGGCGCCGCCGAGGCCTTGCGCGGCCAGCAGCAGGTACGTGTGGAGCTTGGGGTGGCGGGGGCTGGGGCCGGGAGCCCTGCGGGAGGCGGTGCCGCCCCTCCGGCTCCCGGTGCCGCCGCTCCAGCTCCCGGTGCCGCCGCAGGCACCCTTCCGCCTTGTGAAGCGCAGCACGATTGGGGAAGCGTCCGGGGCCCAGGACACCTTTGGCCACGGTGAGTCAGGAGGAGTCGCCGAGCGGGAGTGGGGTTGTGGGGGGAGTCTTCCGGGGGTCCCGGCGCTCGGGGTGTTGTCACTGACCGTCCCGGTTCTCTCCTTGTGCAGGCCCGGACTTCTGGTACTACCCGAGCCAGCTGGAGGAGTCCAATGAGGAGGAGGAAGAAGAGGTGGAGGATTATGAAAAGGAGGAGGAATGGATTGGCTTCAATCAGCAGTGGGATGTGTCCAGCGAGGACAGCGAGCCCCCCTACAACTTCTGTGGGTTCAAGAAGTCCTTCTTGTGTGAGGAGCCTCTGCCCACTCGTCCGCTTCCGAGCGCTCTTGAGGTGAAGATGCACAGGCTGCCTGCGCCCTGGAAGCACCAGCTTACAGCCGAGGTGAGGGGCACCCTCCCTGCCCGTGGGCTGCCGGTCTGCTGCCCATTCCTGCTCCCCGCATCACCTCAGTTGCGTCACATCTTTCAGTCCCTCTTGTCCGCCCTTCTCCTTGGGGACGCAGGGGGCCGGGGGCTGCCTATGGCATGCCCGGGGCCGTCCCACTCTCCCAGCCACGGTGTGGTGCTGGGCACTGGCGCTCATGGCTTCACTCCCCCAGGAAGCAGAGAGGAACGCACAGGAGCTGGTAGCGGAGGAGGAGCGGATGAAGAAGAAGGCGGAGAAGAAGAAGCTGAAGAAGAAGGTCAGTGCGCTCTGCAGGGGGTTCACCTTGCCAGCCCACGGTGTGCAGGCAGCTGCCTGCATTTCCCTTCCTCCTGAGCCTCACTGTTGCTTTGAGGGGGAAAGTGTGTGTCGGGGGCAGCCTGAGGCTTGCTCCTTCCCACTGGCACCGGTGCCGAGGCAGAGCCACGGCATCAGGCCAGGTGCAGCTCTGTACTGCTCTGCCTGGTGCCCGCTCACGGCTCGCTCTCCCATTTTCAGAAGCAGAAAGACCGGAAGAAACGAGAGAAATTGGGACAAGAGCTGAAAAGCAAGCAGGAGGCTGAGTCGGTGAGTGACTGCGCTGGCCCCTCACCCCAGCCCATGCCCAGCTGTGGCAGCCAGGCCGTGCTGCCTTCGGGGGTCCTTTAGGTCTCTGAAGGTGGGACACTGTGGAGAGAGGGGCGGGCAGGCAGAATCCTACTGCCCTGGCTGCCATCTCTTGCCGTTTCCTTCCAGAGCACCTCATCCCTGAGCAGCACTGTGGGTACTGGGCACCCCCAAAACAGCAATGCTGAAGAGCAGGAGGGCTTGCTGGACTCCAGCCCCTCGCCATGCCTCGGGGACGGCACAGCCTCTTTGGGAGAGGAGGAAGGAGGCCAGGAGACAGGGGGTGAAGAGATGGAGGTGAGGGCTCCTGGTGTGGGTGCCAGCCTGGTGTGGGGTCTGCCCTGTGGACAGACCTGGGGCTCTGCCCGCCTTGTCCACCCTGCCTCTCCCAGGATGAGCTGGACCTGAGCTGCACCTTCGTCTTCAAAGCCCGGCAGAAAGCGGGCGTGAGGCTGCCGGCACCTGGGAAGGAGAAGCCAGCTAAGATGAATGATGCTGAGCTAGGCAAGAGGGTGCCAGAGAAGGTGAGTTCAAGCCCACAGGACCCTGGGGAGGGACCTGCTTGTCCTGCAGCACCCAAGCTCTTGCTGCCCTGCCTGCCTGCACTACAGGTGCCTGAGCCAGAGCCTGTAGCCCTGGACACGAGTGTGGTGGAGCAGAGCCTGATTCTCGCAGGTCAGTGCCTCAGGCAGTGAGAAAAGGGGGTGGACACATGGGGGCTCTGCCCTGCTGCTTCCCAGCTCCGTGGGTAGCTCTGCCTCAGGAGGACTTGTGACAGGGCTCCTTGCCAGCACGGCTCTTTGCAGGCCATTGCAGCCCTGGGCGGTCGCCAGGGTGCCTTTCCCTCGAGGCTGGGTGATGGCAGAGCTGCTGTCTCTTCTGCCGCCCCTCTCCCCTCTGCTTGTTCCTAGCAGGTGGTTATGTCCCTGCTGCAGGCAGGGGACACAGCTCTGCTTCCCAGCTGGGCTGGGGGGTCAGCAGCAGGCAACACTTTCCCTGCAGGCCATGGCAATGAAGCTGCCCAGAAGGGCCGCTACGCCGAGGCAGTGCAGGCCTTCACGGAGGCTGTGAAGCTGAACCCCAGGGAGCACCGGTGAGCGATGGGGCTCAGGAGCTGCATTTCCTGGGGACTCGAGGTCCTGGCCTGCTGCGGTCAGCAGTGATCCCACCTTCCTTGCAGGCTCTTTGGGAACCGCTCATATTGCTATGAGAAGCTTCAGCGCTACGAGGAGGCCCTGAAAGATGCAGAGATGTCGCTGGGGCTGCAGCCCGGGTGGCCCAAAGGCTTCTTCCGCAAGGGCAAGGCGCTGCGGGGGCTGAAGGTACCAGGGCTGGGCTGGGGGATGCAGGGAGCTGGGGCTGGGCAGAGGCTGCAAGGTGCCCAGGTTGGGTGGGCTGGATGGGGGCTGTGCAGTCCCATGGTGGTCCAGGGAGGCTGTGGGGTGCCGGTGGGGCTGGGTAGGGGTCTGTAGAGTGCCCAGGCTGGGTGGGGTGGATAGGGGGCTTGCAAAGTGCCGGGGCTGTGGGGTGCCAGCAGGGCCAGGCAGAGCCCTGTGTAAGGTGGAACAGGGTGGGGGGCGAATAGCCGAGGCTGGCCAGGCAGGGGGGCAGTGTGGGCAGCAGGAGCTCAGCCCCTCTCCGATGGACCCCAGCGCTATGCCGAGGCTGCCAGAACTTTTGAGGAGCTGCTGCGTCTGGACGGTACCAATGCCGAGGCGTCTGCCCAGCTGGAGGCCTGCCGGGCCCTGCTGCGGGTAAGTCCCTGGCCCTGCCACCCCCAGCCCTGCCATCCCTGGCTGCTGCCCTGCGGTGTCTGACCTTTTCTCTCCCCACAGCAGACCAGTCCTCGTGGCCAGAGCAGCCCGGGGGGGCTCCCTGTGTCCCCGTCCCTGCTGGAGGCTGGGGAGCCACCACTGCCTGCCTCTGGTAAGGGAACTCGGCACCAGTGGCAATTTCCCTTTGGAGCTGTTGGCAGAGCTGGCAGCTTGGGGGGTGCGGGTGGACCTGGGCTTTGGCTTTGGGGCTGGAAGGAAACTCAGGGGGGATGCTGGGCCTGAGGCTGGCCTGCAGTGGATGCTGTGCCAGCCCCCAGAGCCAGCTGAGCCTGTCCCTGTCTCTCAGCAGAGGCATGGGCGAGTGGGAACTGCTGGGACACAGACACAAGTGGCTTCGTGACCGTTGTGAGCTCCAGGAGCCAGACGAGAGCCCAGGGCCGGGCCACAGGCAGTAGCCAGCAGACACTGCCTCCAACCCATCCTGCCAGGTAGGGCTGGGGCTGGTGGGGACAGGGCAGCCCCATATTGGGCTGGGTCAGTCACTGGTGCTTAGTGGGGGCGGTGGGTAGGAGTGGGTGGATACCAGACCTCCCATGGAGGGGTCTTCAAGCTGCTGCAAGATGGCGCCAGCTGCCGGTGACGCTGGTGTGGTTTGGCAGGGACTGCTATCCCCTCTGGGTGGGGAACATCACCTCCAGGATCAGCAGGAAGGTGCTGCACAGCTCTTTCAGCCCGTGAGTGTGTCCCCACACTGAGCCCCCACAGCGCCCCTGTTCCCTGGGGAGCGAGCCCTGGGAGGGAGAGGCACAGGGGACTCTAACGCTCCACCCCACAGGTTTGGGGAGATCCACTCCATCCGGATGCTGCCAGAGAGACGTTGTGCCTTCATCAACTACACAAAGAAGGTGGCAGCGGAAGCAGCCTACATAGCCAAGCAGGTGAGGTGGCCACTGTGCCACGGAGCCCCACAGCCCCTCGGGGCCAGAAGAGAGGAGCAGGCAGTGCTGGGCCTGGGACATGGGGGTGTCTGTCCCGGGCTTGGCCCCCTCCAGCCCTGTCCTCTTTCCTACCGCCGTGGGGGTGGTGCTGCCAGCTCAACTCCCCCTCTCTCTCCCCGCAGGATACCGAGGTGGAGGGAAGCAGGCTGGTGCTGCAGCTGAAGCACCCCTCCCATGCCACCCCACCCCCCCGCTGGCACTCGGAGCCCCGTGGCAAAGTGGGCACCCTCCCTGGGGGGCTCCTGTAGCCAGGGGGTGTCCCCAGACCGCAGTGGAGCCTGGCCCTGCGTGGTGCCTTCCTGTGCTGCTGGCACACCGCAGAGGAGCTGGGCCCGCTGGACGGCCATGGTGGGACAGCGTGGTCCCCTGCCCAGGAGCCAGCACAGTGCCTGCCACGCACAGAGCCCTCCTGGCATGGAGCCGTGGAGGCATCGGCCACTGCGGGCATTTGCCCCCAACCTGAGGAGCCTGCTGGTTCCTGCCTAACCCTAGGGCCTGCCTGCTCTGCCCCCCTCCCCGGGGGCCTGGAACATGATCAGCAGCTCCTGGCCACACGCTGGGCTTTGGTGCCCAGCAAGGAAGGAGCTGAGGAGGTGCCTTCTACTGGGGTGGGGGGCTGGCAGTGGCACCCCTGCTCCCCCCAGCACCATGGCTCCTGGGGGCTCTGCAGAGGGCTAAGCCTGCCTTAGCCCTGCCTGTGCCTTTTCCCTGGGGGACCTGTCCCCCCTCCTGCCCCCTCTGTGGGCAGGGGTCTCCCCCCCCTCCTGGTGCCTGAAGTGGCTGTGCCTTGTGGGGCTTCCTCTGGCGGGGTGGGCTGTGCTGTTTCCCCCCAGCCCGTACCCTCCTGTGGGTGCAGGGATCGCCTTCCCGGGGGCACACTGGAAGCCCCTGCTCCTGGGGCTGGAGGCCAGGGTGGGTCAGTGCCCACCCTGGAGCTCCTTGTGCTGGTGCCAGGGAGAGCGTTCTGCGGGTGGTGGGACAGGGCTGTGCCTGGGGACAGCCCTTACCCTCTGCCCCTTCAGGGATTTTGTACCCAATTTGGGTTTTCTTAATAAAATCGAGCCAGCAGAAGCCGTCTGTCCTTGCCTTCTTCTCCAGCCTTGCTGCCCGCCCTGGCCCTGGGGGGGTCAGGGGCCCAGAGTCTCCCGTGCCCAACGGGTTCTTGATGCCGTACCGGCCGCCGCGCAGTCCCACCGGCGGCCAGCAGGGGGCGGCCTCGGCCCGGCGGCGGCGGCGGCTCCGTGTACCGGGTCCGGTGTGGCCCCACCCCGACAGAGCTCCCCACGGTGGCCCGGGCCGGGGCATACCTGGGCGCGGGTACCGGAGACCCAGCACCGGATGTGCAACAAACCCCGCTGCAGAGCTCCCCGGGATACGTCCTCCGTGCCGCCTCCCGAGCCCTCCGCACCGGCCGCCCGGTGCAGCAGCCCCGCAGCTCCCCCGGTCCTTCTGAGGGGAGCGGGTCTGCCCGGACACCGGGACCGCCCGATGCTGCACGGGGCCCCCGGGTGCTGCCTTAGCCCGGGAGGAAACGGGGACACCCAGCTCCTGGGGCCGCGGGGGCTCCCTGGGTGCGCCCCGTCTCGGGGTCGGGCAGGGCCGGTACCGGGGCTGCGGGGCTGGGCCAGCCCCAAGGCAGCGGTGATGGCCGCTGCTCATCCCTTCTGCCGCCCCGTACCACGGCCCCGAGGGGCCGGGCAGAGACCCGGCGCCTCCTCTCCTCTACCAGCTGGAAGGTGCCCAGTGTCCCCGGTAGCGGGGGGGTGCCCGGCGGGGGCTGCCGCAGCGGGGACGCGCCGTGCGAGCCCTGGGCCCCCGGCCCCGCTGTAATGTCATTTGCAGGTGACGGGAGTCGCAGGGGCCGTGGCAGGGAGGTGACAGGCAGGCCATCAAGTAGAATTTGATTAATATGCAAATGGGCAACAGGGAGAAGGAGCGCGGGAGACAGCGAGTAATTAATCACTAGTTAAAAGAAATTAATACCAACAGCAGAGGTTGTCAGGAAACAGCAGTCGAGTTAATCATCCAGAAAATTGGAAGAGGAAAAAGACGAGTGTGCGTGGGGAGGGGAGAAGCGGGGGGCTGAGCCTGACACAGCCCCCAGCAGCAGGAGCCGCTCTGAGGCCCCGGGGATGGGCACAACCTGCCCTGGGGCCCAGCAGGTCACTGCCCTGCAGCCGCGGAGCCGGGATGAAACCCTCCAGGGACCGGGCCGGTTCCCTCTGGGCAGCGGTGGGTGGTCCCGGGGGTGTTGGCTGGGGGACACACACGTGGGTGCTGGGCAGGTGCTCCCATCGTGGATGTTCGTGCCGTGGGTGCTCACAAACGTGCACGTGGTGCCTCGCAGCCCTGGGGAGGGGTCCCTGCTCAGGCCACATTGCTCGGCTACCCATGCCGGTCACCGGACACGTGTGTGCGGCTGCGTGTGCCCGGTCACGGCTGTGACACAGCAGCAGCTCCGGGTCCTCATGCTGTGGCACGTGCACACTGTGTGTGCGTGTCCTTGTGTCTGTCCACATTGTGTGTGTCTACGTGTGCCCCCCACACTGTGCTGGCGCTGGTGATGTGGGCGGGATGGCCAGGCCAACAGTGGTCCCGGCAGGCCATGGGCCTGGCTGTGCGGCTGCGCAGAGCGGTGGGAACCGACAGGGCTCGGGGCTGGCGGTGGCAGCGTGCCCGGTGCCTGCACCGCGTCCCACAGCAAAACCTCCTACGGGACAGCCGGGGGCGATGCCAGACGCTGCCTGGCTCGACCAACGCTTCCGCCCGTGATTAGCTGCCCCGGGGGAGGCTGGCATGGGGGGTGGGCTGGCGTGGGGCATGAGGGGAGCCGGGGCTGGGCGGGGGGGCAGCAGCCCAGAGGCCACGGTAAGGGTGCTGTGCAGAGGAACTCAATGTCCCTCAGCCACCCTGCACCAAGAGACGCCTGGCAGTGCTGGGACCAGCTCGCATTGCAGAGACAGGATGACATCCTGGGGGTCTGAGCCCCCTCCTCCAAGCCAGCTCTCCCCATCTGTGCCTCAGCTGCCCACATGACCTGTGGGGTGGAGGAGTGTGGGGCTGAGGCCAAGGGGTCCTGGCTGTGCTTAAGCAGGCCTTGGGAGGGGGAGAGGGGTCGGGGCTGCCCGGCTCTATACGCTGTGGTGGGGGCCGAGGAGGCAGCGTGGGGCCGGGTCCATGCCGTGGCGTGGAGGTGTGATCCTGCCAGCTGTTCCCTCGCATCAGCCTGATGGAAACAGGCCCGGAGCCGTGAGCTCATCTCCGGGACTGGCCCCATCCGCCCCCACCGCTCCCACACACGTGCCTGGGGACACACGCACGTACAGCCCTCACGTGTGTGTGTGTGCATGCACACACACAGGCATGCACACACACAGGCATGCACGTCTGCATACACACACGCGTGTGGGGCCGGCAGCCCCACGCTCGGCTCCGCTGTGGGGACTGGGGCCGTTGCCTGGCTCTGCCTCCTGCCAGGCCCAAGCTGTGGGGGTGACAGGGCCGTGAGGGGACACGGTGGCAGGGCCAGCGGGGTTCGCAGCACCCGGGGAGCCCTGCCTGGGAGGTGGGGGAAGGTGTGGGGGTGTGTGTCACCCGCTGTGATGACTCTGTCTGCAAACCCCACGGCGGCGGGACCCCCGGCCCTACTGCCCGCAGCAGGCGTCGCAGCCACAGCCGCGCATGCCCCACGCGTGTCGGCCCCGCGCCGCCGCCGCTGCTACCTGTCAAATTAAAAGCAATTCCCCCCGGATGATGCTCAAAGGCACTTTCAGGCTAAATCTCATTTCTTTCCCTCCCCCCCCTCTCTCCCCACCTCGGCCGGGCGGCTGCGGCACGGGGGGAGGGGCGGGACAATGCAATTAAAACTGGAG